TCAGCTTGACAATACACAAGGGTGGATGACGACTGGGTGGAATGGCGTCAGCTCGACAATACAGAAGGGTGGATGCCGACTGGGTGGAATGGCGTCAGCTCGACAATACAGAAGGGTGGATGCCGACTGGGTGGAATGGCGTCAGCTCGACAATACACAAAAGGTGGATGGATGCCGACTGGGTGGAATGGCGTCAGCTTGACAATACACAAGGGTGGATGCCGACTGGGTGGAATGGCGTCAGCTTGACAATACAGAAAGGGTGGATGCCGACTGGGTGGAATGGCGTCAGCTCGACAATACAGAAGGGTGGATGCCGACTGGGTGGAATGGCGTCAGCTTGACAATACATACAAAGGGTGGATGCCGACTGGGTGGAATGGCGTCAGCTGGACAATACAGAAGGGTGGATGCCGACTGGGTGGAATGGCGTCAGCTTGACAATACACAAGGGTGGATGCCGACTGGGTGGAATGGCGTCAGCTCGACAATACAGAAGGGTGGATGCCGACTGGGTGGAATGGTGTCTGCTCGACAATTCAGAAGGGTGGATGCCGACTGGGTGGAATGGTGTCAGCTCGACAATACACAAAGGTGGATGCCGACTGGGTGGAATGGCATCAGCTTGACAATACACAAGGGTGGTTGCCGACTGGGTGGAATGGCTTCAGCTCGACAATACAGAAGGGTGGAATGGCGTCAGCTCAACAATACAGAAGGGTGGATGCCGACTGGGTGGAATGGCGTCAGCTTGACAATACACAAGGGTGGATGTTGACTGGGTGGAATGGCGTCAGCTGGACAATACGGAAGGGTGGATGCCAACTGGGTGGAATGGCGTCAGCTTGACAATACGCAAGGGTGGATGCGGACTGGGTGGAATGGCGTCAGCTCGACAATACAGAAGGGTGGATGCCGACTGGGTGGAATGGCATCAGCTCGACAATACACAAAGGTGGATGCCGACTGGGAGGAATGGCATCAGCTTGACAATACAGAAGGGTGGATGCCGACTAGGTGGAATGGCGTCAGCTTGACAATACACAAGGGTGGATGCCGACTGGGTGGAATGGCATCAGCTTGACAATACACAAGGGTGGATGTCGACTGGGTGGAATGGCGTCAGCTCAACTCTTGGTGGAAACAATACACAGAAGGGTGGATGCAGACTTAGGTGGAATGGCGTCAGCTCGACAATACACAAGGGTGGATGCCGACTAGGTGGAATGGCGTCAGCTCGACAATACAAAAGGGTGGAATGGCGTGAGCTCGACAATACACAAGGGTGGATGCCGACTGGGTGGAATGGCTTCAGCTTGACAATACACAAGGGTGGATGCTGACTGGGTGGAATGGCGTCAGCTTGACAATACAGAAGGGTGGATGCTGACTGGGTGGAATGGCGTCAGCTCGACAATACACAAGGGTGGATGCCGACTGGGTGGAATGGCGTCAGCTCGACAATACAGAAGGGTGGATGCCGACTGGGTGGAATGGCGTCAGCTCGACAATACACAAGGGTGGATGCCGACTGGGTGGAATGGCGTCAGCTGGACAATACAGAAGGGTGGATGCTGACTAGGTGGAATGGCGTCAGCTCAACAATCAAGAAGGGTGGATGCCGACTAGGTGGAATGGCATCAGCTTGACAATACAGAAGGATGGATGTCGATTTGGTGGAATGGCGTCAGCTTGATAATACACAAGGGTGGATGCCGACTGGGTGGAATGGCGTCAGCTTGACAATACACAAGGGTGGATGCCGACTGGGTGGAATGGCGTCAGCTCGACAATACAGAAGTGTGGATGCCGACTGGGTGGAATGGCGTCAGCTCGACAATACAGAAGGGTGGATGCCGACTGGGTGGAATGGCGTGAGCTCAACAATCAAGAAGGGTGGATGCCGACTAGGTGGAATGGCATCAGCTTGACAATACAGAAGGGTGGATGCCGACTGGGTGGAATGGCATCAGCTCGACAATACAGAAGGGTGGCTTCAGACTAGGTGGAATGGTGTCAGCATGACAATACAGAAGGGTGGATGCCGACTGGGTGGAATGGCGTCAGCTTGACAATACAGAAGGGTGGATGCCGACTAGATGGAATGGCGTCAGCTCGACAATACAAAAGGGTGGATGCCGACTGGGTCGAATGGCGTCAGCTCGACAATACACAAGGATGGATAACTTCAAGGGTTGATGCCGACTGATTTTTCTCAGATGTGATAAAGACAATACTCATAATCTTTTGATCACTCATAGAAAATAGGTGAAGTTGATCTTTCTTTATCTACATTTTCGGGGATCCCCAGGACATCCTTGGGAAGAGCCTCAGCGGTTCATTCAAATATTTTAAAATCTCTTCACTTATTTATTTAGAAATGTCATAGATTGGCACCATTACGACTCAACTAATGAAAAGTATACTAAGTAATGATTGACAGAAAATCTGCTCGCTTATCTCTTTGAATAACATAAGCTTAAACCAAAGTGTTTCTTCAGACAACCTCTGTCGTCTTTTAGATCGTGTCCTTACTATTCATTGTTGGGTTTCGTTCAAAACACAACCAACTGTACCGCCAATAATAAAATTTACTTTTGGATTTGGAGAATATCCTAATTTTATTAGAAGTTTATGTCAACTTTGTTCAATAGGTACTGTCTCTCTCACAGACACCAGAACATATATACCATTCATTCTCATACTATTTTCCGTTCTAATAACCCTAACTCATTTCTTTTCAAGGGTTGCTTAAAACTCAATGGATTCTTTTGTAGAATTACTAGTATTTATATTTAACTTTATAAATAATTTTTTCCGTGACAGTATGTTTGTCTATCCAAAAGGTACTTTACAGGTGTACTAATTGAATCGCTGATATTGTACAACAGAAGGACTGTTTAGTTGACTATTTAAGCAAACTAAACGTAGTTTTCCCTTTGAATCATGTTAGGAAACAGTTATCATTTATGCAGGTAATTTGGGTATCAAATTACGATTCCCTTTTTCTCTCTGGCGATGATCATTATCTGACGCGAGGGAAAACAGACATTGTCAGATCCTTTGGCTGAACATGAAATGCGTTTGTTGTTTAATGCCGCACTCTTCACTACTGCATGACGGCGGTGTGTATATATGGACCCGATAATCCAGTGGTTGACATTAATGATTAAGAATATCGATCTACGCAATCTACGTCAGGTTACGATCGATTCTAGATACGCTTCATTAACTAATGACACCTTTCCTCAGCTGTAATACAAGATACAAGAAAGAGAGAGAGAGAGATGACATCGTACTATCCCAGGTCAATGCTCATTTAATGTTGATTACTAAATTGCCTGGTCAAGACTCGATAATATACAGACCCTGGATAACTTGGAATACTGCTGAGCGCGGCGTTAAACAACCGACCAACTCGTAGTGACATGATAAGTGACTTTGTGTACGTTCAAAACGACTAATATTGTTTTAACGTGTACCATAGACTCATCGGATTGACGTCACTTGTCACAGTGTGATTATATGATGTTCCGTAAACTATGCAATGACGGACACAATAATGTTTGTGACCATTCTCTCGTTCTTTCAGCTGAAATATTTTGGTGCTCACAGAGATCGGCTTAGATAAAGTGTTGAAGTCTCAGACTGTTCCTGTTCTCCATAAAAAGTCCTGTATTCATTTCGGAAGGTCGTCTGAACCGGCGATTATCCCCGGAAGGCGTTACTTGGTGTCACATTTGTATATTCTCTCAATGTAGTTTGAAATGTCTTGCCATTTGGGAATTTGAACTGTTCCTAGGTTATTGGTATTGTATATAGGCCCAGCCATTGGATAAAGCGATAACTACACAGTGTGAAACCCAATTACGGTACTCCGTAGAGGCATTACTGGACACGTGAAGGTCCGGGGTAGAATTGATCTTCATCAACCCATGCTTGTCGTAAGAGGCGACTGTTGTGACCTTAAATGTAGAATGGGCTTAAGTGTAGAATAATGGCGACTAACGGGATCGAGTGGTCAGGCTCACTGACTTGGTTGACACAGGTCATTGTATCCCAATTGCGTAGATCGATGATCCCTGGATTGTCTGGTCCAGACTAGATTATTTACAGACCGCCGCCATATAGCTGGAATATTGCTGAGGGCGGCGTAAAACTAAACTCACTGACTCACTCATTACTGGAATATTGCTAAATACGGTGTAAAACCATACTCACTCATTCACTGTGAAACCTCTGCGAGATACAAGCCTGTATCGTCTTGGTTTGTAGCCCGTCACGCTACCAGGCAGTCCGTCTTAGGTAATAATTAATAGTTTAAATGATAATTTCTAACAAATATAAATATCCCTCTAACAGACCCGCGTCCTTACTGCCTTACTTATCTAGACTTGCCTCTTTAAAGGATAGAATTACTATACATCCATCCGGGGCGTTGGGATAGTCTAGTGGTTAAAGCTTTCGCCCGGCACGGCGAAGACCCAGGTTCGATTCCCCGCATGGATACATTGTATGAAGCCCATTTCTGGTGTCCCCCGCCGTGACATTGCTGGAATATTGCTAAAGCGGCGTAAAACTAAACTCACTCACTCACTATACACCCATGCATGGGATATCATTCAGTACAAGGCTACGAACACTACCACCTGTTTATTATGTAATTGTTAGGTGTTGCGTCTATTGCAAGATTAACATTAGCTTTGAAATTGAAAATGAGTTTATCCATTCACAGTTTCAAGAGTATATATCTGTAAAAGCTTTCTGTGTTGTCTTCGCATGATTTCCAACACACATGAAGCCATACTGTCGGAGTCATATTAAGGTACCTATCAGTGTGGGAATATAGTCAAAGCTTCACATTCACTTGCCACCGATTTAAGAGAGCGAGGGGACAGATGGTAAAGTGTTTGTTCGTCACTCTGAAAGCACAGGTTTGATTCCCTGCATAGGCAGGCGCGTAGCAAGCCGTTTTTTCGTGCTGATATATAAGCGGACACTTGACGTCATTTCCATAGACTTACATGTTATTTCAGTGTAGCAGAAATATTTTTCATGAAGTGTGTTTAGGATAGATCTTTGTAAAATTTGACAGACAAATTTGAAATAATCTCTGCTCTGCGCACATAAGTTCAGTTCAATTTTCCGACCACTATTTAACTAATGACATCACATTTATCAACTTACGTATAGTTCCACAATGCAGATTCCCATAGGCCGCCATATTAAAGGAGTCCACGGCACTGTACATATACTAGCCACATAAAGAAACTGTGCATTGACAAAATATTATCCTAGTTGATAAGTACGATAACAATGTCAAAGGTACATATAAACTTTAATGGAGGGATCATGAGACCATAACAAGTCGGGAGAATTTCAATTGAAAAGTCAATCACAATGACGTCACGAGTCCACAAGCGGGACAGGGGTCAAACGACCATGTCACAAGCTCAATAACGGGTATGTCCACCATCGGCATTGAGAACAGCAGTGCATCGACGACGCATAGAGCCTATCAAACGTGCAAGGAAGGCTTGTGGGATGTCACGCCAGATTCTCTCAAGTTCTGTTGCAAGGTCAAGGACGTTATCTGGCGGATGAGGAAGACGGCGTAGACGTCGATCCATCTCGTCCCAAACATGCTCTATCGGGGAGAGATCCGGTGCTTTTGCAGGCCAAGGCAGTAAGTCAACGTTGTGGTGTTGCAAGAAATCCATAGCAACCCTTGCCGTATGAGGGCGGGCATTGTCCTGTTGGAATGTTAACCCAGGGCCATGGCGTTGCAGAAAAGGAATTGCCACGGGTCGAAGAATCTGATCCCTGTAGCCCACACCAGTTAAGTTGCCCTGAACAGTCACCAAAGGAGTTATTTGGCGTGCTGTTATTCCACCCCAAATCATCACGGAACCACCATCAAAGCGATTCCTCTCCAAGACACAGGCCTGTGCATAACGTTCTCCCACGCGTCTATAGGCACGTTGACGTCAATCATTAGGGGAAATGTTAAACCTGGACTCATCTGTAAAAACAACATTTCTCCACCAAAACAAGGGTCTGCGGACATGATTTCGGCACTACATTCGGCGAGCTTGTCGATGACGTTGTGTCAGGATAGGCTGTATGGCGGGACGTCGTGGTCTGATCCCGTGATGACGTAAACGTTGTCGAACTGTGAATAGCCTGATAATTTTTTCTTTGTTTTTTAACTATTAGATAATCTAGTGGTAATTCCTGCCTTAACTATATTTCACTTAATCCAATGTTTGACAAAATACTTTTAACCTGATACGTTCAATTTTTGACAACACCTCCTCATACAAATACTCATAACAGCCCCGTAAAATGCTATTTCAGACGCAAGAAGCTTACACCAATATTTAATCATGCTATATTGCCTTATAAAAACGGGAGAAACCGACCTAACTCGGTATAAACCATGGAGTTACATGTTGATTTCTCAACTCCTATAACCTCTTACAAAAATCCAAATGCAACCTTTCAATATTTAAGCCTTTATTATGTCCCCCATATCTCAGACGCATAAGATAGTATACTACCAACATAACAATCAAAGACAAATAAAAGAGATTCCAGGTTGAGAGAGAGCGACCTGATATTATTGTAAATTTAAAAAAGGGCCTTCCTACCCTGGTCAGAAAACTGCAGCTGTGCCTTTGAGAATCGGTTATTATAATTAAACACTATTCCGAAATATGTAAACGTATCGACAACCTCAGGACACAGCCATTATATATACTCATGCCAATAATGGTTGTCACCCCCCTCCCCACCCCAACCCCACACACACCTCACAACCCCATCCCACAACCCCTGTCCAATTAAACAAATTTAAGGGGGTGACAACCATTATTGGCATGAGTATATAACCAATGTTCTGACGATTAACTTAACCAACTCTTCTGAAGACCATTATCTTTGTTTTAGCGATATTTACTTCAAGTTCTCACCGTCTGCAATAAGCTGACAACGAGTTCATCTGTGTTTGCAACCTTTCAACAGATTAAGAAAATATTACAAGAACATCAGCATACATAAGCAGAAACATATTTAAAGATTTAAACTCGTAAGGTATACATTTATCTTTTAGCAAAGACTCCTCAAAATGAACTATCTAATGTCGAATTAAAGAAAATGTGAAGCGTCATGAACCGTACCATTTAGCTGGCCTCTCAATGAAGGTCAAATGTAATCAATTTTAACTAGCGATAATATGCCTACAATTTACATAAAGGTGTTAATTACGCCGCTTTTAGCTATATCCTTGCAATATCGGAACACCAGAAATGGCCTCCATACATTGTGCTCATGTAGGGAATCGAACCTTCGGCGTGACGAGCGAACCCTTTGCCCACTGGGCTATACTACTCCCCCACAATTTAAACAGTTCGATCAGTTTTGTTGCGTTTTCCAATCAGTTTTCAGCGTCGTAGTTTTACTAATCCCTGTTTTCGGTCAGATACTGATCTAGATTTAACTTTATCCCAATAATGTTCCTTGTGTTCGTTGCAGACTATCCATTGTACATGATCCGTAATCGGTGAGATTTTGAATTAACCAAGGGGAGGTCACTCTAGTATTCGTCCCTCCCACCATCAGCAAACAGCTGTCAACATTTGAAGGCATTTTATTACAATTCCCCATACAATGTTCATACGAGCGTCTGTGCCAAGTTATCGGAAAATCAAAAATGAACACGAAAACACATTCACGGTGAGTTATACCTGAGGTTAAGTTACAGTGTACGCGTCTATTGTTACATAAATAAATAGCTATAGCTTCGAGGGCTTTCTCGGAAACTCAGGAAAAAGAAAAGTCAGTCTTTTCATTAAGAAACACAACATCTGTGTAAATGTTAGAGTGAACATGACATAACATGACATTTTGTTGACACCTGCCTGTAGGCCATCACAGGTATTTGCCTTTCAGTGACCTGTACGGTTTACATAGTAATTAGCCTAAGTATTTGTGAAAATACTTTGTAAGGAGCAGGTGCTTGTGTTTAGATGCAGTCAAAACGGGCTCATGTCAAGCTACCTCAAAACTTTAAAAAGTCAGGACAGCCACACTAAAAAGTCAGAATAGCCATAGATGAACGTCAAGTCCATACAAATGCATTTTTTAAATACATATCCTTTGGATAATATACAATGTAACTAATTCTTGTAGTGGAAAGATTTCTGCCGTAACCCCCGTTTTTTATCATTAGTATTAGTGAGTTTGTATAAGCTCTGATGCATCCCACCCCTAACCATCCCTAACCCAAATCCTAACCCTAAACCTTCCCTTTAATTTTTAATTTCACTACAACACCAATTTACACTTGACATTTCAAGTGGGGGTTACGGGCAGACCTCTTACCCTTGTAGTTATTATACAGCTTGTGGCACTCATCTGTTTCAATCCACCCAATAAACATTTGTATGCAGAACAGATAATTAAGTTAACAACTAACAGCTAAATTAAAACAATTGTGTTTCTGTTCAACAAATATAATATGTCTACCTAAAGCCATTTTGTGATTATATACAGAGATTTGGTAACAGGTTGAACAATCCTTTTCTCTGAAGCAAGCTTTAAGAAAATAACAAGCTAATTTCCTGAGAAGACAAAATCATCTGTACCCATCTGACGAGTGTTTATCCGAGACCATATATGGTCTCTGTGTATATGAACATTTATGCAAAGATTGTCACCTCCAGGATCACAGAATCCCAAACAGTGGAAAATGAGTGAGTGAATGAATGAATGAACAGGGTTTTACGGGACGCATGATTCCTGCGTACTGAATGCAGAAATTTCATGAAGTACCCCCAAACTAAAATCCTCTGCGTCCTTGTGGGCGCAATATAATTTTTTCTGGGAAAGAACTTTCTGAATTTTATAATGATATCCCATATTAAAACATATACATTCTGTTTACAATCATTATTCTAATGACATTGAAAGTAACACATTTATAACATAATCAACAAATGGGAAGCATCCATGATAATTGATTTCATGCAAATTGATGGACTCCCAATTTTGGAAATGGACTCTCAAAATAGATATGCCCTGAGTCCCCAGGACTCCCAGTTTCGAAGAGCTATGTCAAATTCTGAATGAATGAATGAATGAGTGTCATTTGTTGAGTAAAGGACATGGTAACAAGTGTTGATGTAATGATTCAAACTATGGACTTTTGTTTACAATGTAATCTCTCAGTAGTAGGGTTTTCTTGTTGTTTTGATCCATGTCAACACATTACTTTCTGTACTCAGTGTATCAATAATCTTTGGTTGTAATGAGGAACCATTTCCTTGTTTTGGGATTTAACTAATCCATATGTGAGCAGAAAAAAGCAATGTAAAAAAACTTAACATGCATAATACATATAAATCAAAGAGGAATACGAACTGCCTTTCTGTCTTATATGTACAGCGTATGTAATATGATTAATGTGATCAAATAATTTGGTCTGTGTGTGTTTCCGTTTTGACTGTTGATTGTGGCCTTTAAACATTTTGTGTGACCATTTTAATTTTTATCTTTCTAGGCCATTCTGACATTAGACTGTTTTGACCTGCTCCCCAATGTCAGCCGTTTATGCAGTGATTTTCCACTTCACTTTGAAAATAACCCTAATATACAAAAAACTAGCAAAATATCCTTGAACTGGTTGCCATTTTATTTTGCTGCTGGTATCTTTCATCAATGACTGGTAATAAAATAATTATATTTAATATTATATTTCCAAGCAGAACCATTTGATTCTTAATTACAGGTGTTTTTCTTGGAGGTTTGGGTGTCTGGTAGATTGCACACAGTGGAGAAGAGGTACACAGAGTTTGAGGAACTTCATAAACAGGTAGAAACAGTTTTGTGAGAGACCTTTGAATTAGTGATTTTCATAACCATGTTTGAATTACAAATGTGTTATTGATAGGATGATCTTCATGTTATAACAAAAAAAAACACCTGGCCCCCCGCTCCCGCTCCCCCAACCCAACCCTATTCCACACATGCAGCCATTAGACTGACACTTAGTCTCTGAGTGTATATAATTTGGATAGAAACAAATTATTCCTTTTAATTTGGAAAGGGAGACCCACAGAGTTGCTGAGTTGGGTGATTCCTGAACCTGAGGATATCTAGACTTGCTTCATTTAGGACTAAATGCTAAAGAAAGAGCTGGGAGAAATAATGTGGTTCAGGGACCGCGAGACAGACTACCACTGCCGTCTTTAGCTTCCTGTGATTGTCATATCTATGCTTTGTGGACTTCACCTCACTATTTATTCCCGTTAGTTCTGTCAGTCTGTAGTGACAAGCCAAGGGTGCTTAATGCAGTCATCACTGAACAAGCAAGTATGGTTTTCCTCATTAGCACTGATCATATGGTGCTGCCCCACTCACCATTAAGAGCTGTTCGCTTGTCACGCCAAAACCCCAAGCTTGATTCCTCACATTGGTACAATGTGTGACACCCATTTCTGATATTGCTTGATATTTGCTAAAACCCATGTGAAACCTCACTCACTCACCATGAGAATCTACAAAACTGCTGATGTGGCAGTAAGCGGTCATCACTCACTCACTCTATTACTTCATGCAGTAGTGGTCAAGGATGCGGTCAAGCTATACATCTGTGAATTAACTCATGTATGTGTTTTGCTATTACATAGAATAACTGCTTTAAGCAATAAACCCTGACTTACTCTTCTATTACAAGGGGACCTGTGAAGATCCGGGAAAGAATTGATCTTCAGTAACCCATGCTTGTTGTAAGAGGCGATTAACTGGATTGGCTGGTCAGGCTCGCTGACTTGGTTGACCATGTCAACGTATCCCAATTGTGTAGATTGATGCTCATGCTGTTGATCACTGGATTGTCTTGTCCAGACTAGATTTTTTATAGACAGCTGGAATATTGCTGAGTGTGGCGTAAAACTAAACTCACTCACTCTAGTACAAGGATGATGATGCATGAACATGTATGTTCTTGTGTTTCATGAAATTTTGATGTATTTAGCACAGAACTAAACCAGCACTTCACGGGACCGTAATATAATTCCGGTCTAGACAGGGTGCTGGATTAGACAGTGACAATCATTTTCCAACATGGCTGCCATTTACACTCGTCAATCTCTTTATCTCTATATCTCTTGACTGACGAGTCAATAAAACCAATGGCTATTTATTTACTCTCTGACACAGACAGACAGATTGTTTATTATAGTCTCACCTCGTTACAGACATTTTGATAAAAACGTACATACATAATATATACATGATAAAAACTATACATAACCTAAGACAATATAAGCGTTATAGGAATGAGGCACCCTGTACAGAGTTACGAGAGACTTTAATATTATAACATCTATAAAAACATTCAAATGTTAAGAACTGCAGTCACTCTATAAAATATCCTTTGATAAAAAATTACCTAAAAGTTTTAAAAGAAATCAATGAAATAAAATCTTATGACGCTTACGAAGAATATTATTACACGTTTTGGCACTCTGGGCTATAACATTAGGTGATGAGAGCATAAAACCAACTTTCTGAACATCATCTAAGTTATTAAATTCCTCATTTATCACAGAACAACATGACAGTAGATTATTTGACACATGTCACTCACTTGAAAACAGTTAATGCAGTCCCACAGTGTTTATGAAGCATAACCATGGTAACCCTATGAGCGTTTGATTCAACCAGCAATCACTACTTCCTGATTATCTGGGGCGGTGGGGTAGCCTAGTGGTTAAAGCGTTGGCTCGTCACGCCGAAGACCCGAGTTCGAATCCCCATATGGGTACAATGTGTGAAGCCCATTTCTGGTGCCCCCTGCCGTGATGTTGCTGGAATATTGCTAAAAGCGGCGTAAAACCAAACTCAGTCAGTCAGTCCTGATTATCTAGCGTGCCAAGAGGATTAATTAGTGTATTGGATTATGGGCCCTTGATTGGACTGAGCATACCCATGTTTAGACACTGTTAATTACAGTTAAAATTGCTTGTAGGGACAGGAAAGTCGTGCTGGAATACGGAATAGACAGGTGCTGGATTAGACAATGTTTAAATGATCGTAATATCGTTGTAAAATGGCGGGACTAAAATTTTATGCCGGTTTTGACAGTGTGTCAGTGTTGGCAGGTTTCACTGTAGTAACAACATAAGTGAAGATCTGTTAGTATTCTTTGTGGTGCAGTTGCCATGATATTCCTGGAATAAAAGCTAGAAGCAGAGTAAAACCAGACTGTCTCACTCTCTAATTTGAAACTATGAGGAAGGAAAAATGTGTAAATTTTTAACAAATTGCACAAGGCATCAATGAATAAGAACTGTTTATGGATGTGATTCACATGATGATGTTTGGTAGGAGAGTGCATGATGCATTTCTTAAGAATGATGCATTGTTTAAGAATGAATGTAACCATGGCAACATGCAGTATTTTCCTTGTCTCTACATGGAGAAACAGTAACTGTTGTGCTTATCAGCTTGGAGAATTTATAACCAAATCAAAACCTGTAATAGCATAAAAATTATGTCCGCCCCATTGTCATTGATAGACAGGCCTTTTGAAAAATAACCCGCCCAAAGTCATCCAAGCAATGGCTCAACAAATCATCACTTGTTTTCAATGTCTTGGCATTCTCTGTTCCTTCTCTCATATAGAAATATTTATAGTATGACCAGAAATTATTGAGAATTTTAGGAATATGTTTAATTGGATTTCTAGTATAAACAACCTTGACCAGCTATCAAGTGCTTGGTTTCATTCAAGAGAGACAACTCCGTTAATCCTTTTTTCATTAGTTTGTGAAGAGTTATCCCCCCTTTGTTTACTTGCTAGCAGACGACATTTTCAGTGATCCTCAGTATGGATGATTTAGAGAAGAGGAAGTTGATTTTAGAGTATTATAACAAGGACATCAGATCAGCTAAAGTGATTTCAAGTAGAACAGGCATCCCTTTGTCCACTGTTTATCATGTTTTGAAAAATATTGCAAATGGATATGGCATTGAGCAGGAACAGGACGGTGACAGGAGGCGGCTTGGTATTCTTGTTTCTAAAAACAAACAAAGGAGTTTAGAAAACTTAAGGCCGGATATGATTGATAGAGGAACTGTGGCTGTCTGTAAGGAGACAATTAGAACTAAGCTCCATGCAATGGGTTGGCAGAAAAGTCGAGGAATTCCATCACCGATCATGAAACCTGAACAAAAGGAGCGAAGGTTGAACTGGTGCTTACAGCATAGAAATTTTAACTCGGACAATGTGATTTTCTCAGATGAAAGTTCTGTGTGGCTGTTTCTTAATACACTGAAATTCTGGACCAAACAAACTGAAAAACCTTTGTATCAGCGCCCAAAGTACAGTCCAAAATTTAACGTGTGGGGTGGCATATCTGTGTTAGGGGCAATGCCCCTCTGTGTATTTGAAGGGAATATGAAAAGTGAGCGGTACACAGATATTCTCGAGGGACATTTACTTCCATCTGCTCACGTGTTCTATGGAAATGTTTGGATTTTCCAGCAGGACAACGACCCAAAACATCGTTCAAAGCATTCATAGGCCTGGTTTCGGACCCAAAATATGACATTATTAGATTGGTCAAGCTAAAGCCCTGACCTAAATCCAATAGAAAATGTTTGGGGACTTATGAATGAAAGTGTTAGTAAGAAAAATCTGACAAATATTGCTGAAATGAAAGAAGAGGTGGTCCGATATTGGGACAGCATGGACCACGACTTTCTAACTTCTTTGATCAGTAGTATGCCCCGCCGCATTGAAGCCTGCATTGCTGCCCATGGTGACTTGACAAAATACTAATTGTTCACCTGTCTCTGAATCTGGAGTTATGTTCTGCTAATATTCACATTTAATACATGAGTAATGAGTGAAAAAAATAGAAAACATTTCAATCTTAAATTCTCAAAAATTTATGGTTGTACTGTAATATGTTCTCAAAATACTGCATTTGCCATATCACATAGACATGTCTGTAGCATTGCATTTCAGCTGAAGAAAGTGATGAGAACACCAGAGTTTCCTCCTAAGAAGGTTCTTAAGTGGAATTCCAAAGTATTGGAGCAGAGACGAAGTGGTTTACAAACTTATTTACAGGTAGGTACATGGGAATGTCTCTCAGACTGTATCATGGGAGGAATAATGTGGCTGAGTGGTTAGAGCATAGGCTTGTTACACCAGTGATCCTCATCCGTCTGTCCGTCTGTATTCATTTTGTTTCTGGAACATAACTCGAAAACCGTTCAATGTGTTTCAACAAAAAGCGGTATGTACATCAAACAGAACCTAAGGTGGTGCCTCTTGCTATCTACATATTTTTGTCATTTTCTGATTTGCTTGGTTTCCATGGAAACGTGTTGTACTTAGTCTCAAAAGGGAGGGGTGGGCTTCATTTCCAGAGCATAGCTCGAAAAACGTTCAATATATTATAGCAGAAATTGGTATATATCAAACAGACCCTGAAGTGGTGCCTTTTGCTATTTACAGATTTTTGTCATTTTTATTTTTTCTCTCAAGTTGGACTTTAAGTAATTGTCAGATGATTTGTTCTTTCATATTTGTGGGGGCCAGGGGGGATTTGTCATCTTTTGATGACTCTTGTTACTACTGGCTTCATGCTTGTATGTTTTCACCTTATAATACCTGCAATTCATACTAAAGAGGCTTCTCTACTCCTTAGTGACCAAAGGCAGTGGGGTAGCTTAGTGGTTAAGGTGTTTGCTCGTCATGCCGATACTCGGGTTTGATTCCCCACATGGGTACAATGTGTGAAGCCCATTTCTGGTGTCCCCCGCTGTGATATTGCTGGAATATTGCTAAAAGCGGCGTAAACCTAAACTCACTCACTCACTCACCTTTGTGACCATGCCTCAAGTGTATGAACCCAATCTAAAACATTTCATGTGCTTCATAATAGTGGTACAGTCTTCTCTGAAACTTTACTTGAATTGTCATAAAGAAGTTGTTCGCCCCTATATCTTACCTTTACCTAGTACTCCAATTTGTAAATGCCTCTCAAAGAAGTTAAACTTATGACATTGTAAACCCAGACTATGTCTTATAGGCTTTATCAGTATAATGAATAGTGATTGCTTTTTCGCTTGTTTGGTTGAGACCTGTGAAGATCCAGGTTAGAATTGGTCTTCAGAAATACATGCTCGTCACAAGAGGCGACTGACTGGATCGGGTGGTCAGACTTGCCGACTTGGTTGACACATGTCATATATCCCAACTGCGTCAATGCTCAATCGGTGCTCATGCTGTTGATCACTGGATCGTCTGGTCCAGACTCGATTGTTGACAGACCGCCGCCATACAGCTGAGTGCAGCGTTAAACTACCAACCAACCAGTTAGCTTGCTAGAATATTGAAAAAGTAGCGTAAAACTCTCTTCACTCGTTCATCTTCTGCACATCTATCAATCTATCATGCCAGTGCTACCTATACATTTGAGAGTCGGCAGAATGAATTCATGGCTGTTTGTTTCACATACACAGTGTTATTTTGTATTTGACAGTTTTCCTGAAGCATTGTCACTGGTTTAAAAGGTCATGCATTCCAGCACAACACCACCATTTCAAAAACTTCAAAAACAGTGTCATGTTTTTGGTATTTAGAGAGCAATTTATCCCCCAGCTTCGTCACTAACCCATATATCAAGTGCATGACCCAGCTGTTTGACACTGGAAACATCTCTGTTGGCCTTTTGGTTAAACAGTTCACTCTTTTGAACTAATGATAAGCTTGTCGTAAGAGGCGACTAACGGAAATGGGTGGTCAGGCTCGCTGACTTGGTTGACATGTCATCATATCCCAGCCGGCAGATCGATGCCCATGCTGTTGATCACTGGATTGTCTGGTCCAGACTCAATTATTTATAGTGTGCCGCCGTATAGCTGGGATATTGCTGAGTGAAGTGTAAAACTAAATTCACTCATTCACTAATGATGTGCTGCAGTTGTTCATGGTCTGATGACTAAGCATTGATTAGTGTTTTCACAAACACCTTATGTCAATACAGCATTGATAGTTTTCATAGATGAAATGTAGCGGAAAACACAATGTTCAGAGAGACTTGGATATGTCTATTTATCATAAATAAATTAATATGTATAAAATGTCCCATGGTCCAGTGGTTGGAGAAACAAAGGCAGCACAGATGAATGGTTTTGCCCAGAGTTATGTTTACATCCTAGACAACTACAGACAATAACACTGACTGAGTTTGGTTTTACGCCGCTTTTAGCAATATTCCAGCAACCTCATGGCAGGGGACACCAGAAATGGGCTTCACACATTGTACCCATGTGGGGATTCGAACCCGCGTCTTCGGCGTGACGAGCCAACACTTTAACCACTTGGCTACCCCACCGCCCCCTACAGACAATAACAGGAATGTGCTGGGTCAGCACATTATAGTGGTAGTGGATGTGCCCTAGAGTGGATGTGCCCTAGGTCACATGCAACGTAAAACACAACTTTGCAGATTCTGATACCTTTCGGTATGGACTTACAGTAACAAATGATCAAAAATGCAAATTCAACTTATAAAATCACTAAATTCATCCCAACTGGTGTGAAAAGTGGTTTCAAGAGCTGTGCTGCACTGCGCTCATGGCGCATGCGCAGTGAATAGGTTTGTGCAGCTCTGAGTTAGTTATTTGATTTATATAGCGTCGCATGCACAACTGAGGTAGTACACATATTAAGAAATGAGAGGGAACAAAAAATAGAACTTTTGAAAGAGTGGTGTTGGAGGCGCAGCTTCTTACCGAGTCACTTTCTCAGGTCGATACTTAACATCAACGTCATTCTTTAACATTGTCAGACAAAACTCAATGTCTGTTTTATTGACACCTATGTGTCTGTCTGCCTGTCTGCTAATGACAGTATGCAATACACAGCTGCTATCACTGACCACATGCAATTTGAACTTAACACCAATCAGGCTGTACACCATAAACAAAACGCATTGATTTATGGCTCGTGCACCCGAGTTCTGTCTCTGTCACATTATGTAATTACACAGACAGGCAGGTGTGATACTTGTACACATGACATGTTATGGCGTCTGGTGATTGCGAAATGTTATACACAAAAAATGAGCATGTATTTACAAAACCCAACACCTATCAGGCTATACACCATATACACCATAAACAAAACGCATTGATTTATGGCTCGTGCACCCGAGTTCTGTCTCTGTCACATTATGTAATTACACAGACAGGCAGGTGTGATAGTTGTACACATGACATGTTATGGTGTCTGGTGACTGCAAAATGTTATACACAAAAAATGAGCATGTCTTTACAAAACCCAACATCTCTATACACACACAAAGAGTGTATCGGCAAATGAACCAGCCAGTGGAAGTCTTCGTTACACTTAAGTGCACATCCACCCGCTCTGGGTTCGGTATCCCGGGTGCTTCTATTCGAGGGAAGTAAACCCAAGTACAAAATATTGCACCTTTGATTTGCGATTGTACGCTTATAATTTTGTTTATTTGTTTTTTCATAATCAGCAATGTGTATTAAAAGCCATCAATAAGTGATAATTGTGTTTTAATTATGTTTGTTTTTTGGTTGCATGTGACCTTTAACTGGAGATGTATGAGCACTTGACTCTTTGTCCATAATTCACAGTCTGGGGCAAGGCTTGTATTATGGACACCTATGATGTAGGTCAGGCTATATAATTATGTTCATACCCTTTGTAATTATTAAGGGAGTCTACAGATCTGTTTAGTTCATGCATAAATGTTTTTTAAAAAACCCGCTTTTCCTTCTTAATGTATGTCATGAATATTTTGAGACATGGCTGTTTAAGTTCAGGTATAGTGTTTTGCCATGCAATTACAGGCACACTTCCCACTTTCATTGTTAACATCAAAGATTAGATGGCTCCAGTTTGGCAAACAGGAGGTTATTTTAACACTCGAATGAAGTTGCATACTTGAATAATTATTATGACATTCTCAATAAACATGAATCTTTTTGATCAGTTTGTTAATTAAGTTGGGATGAATTTTGATTACATTCATTTGAAAAACAAGATGGCGACCACACTGATTATATTGCCTTGGTCTCATAACCAGGAGTAAATAATTAATATATACATGTATATATTCCTTGAGTATAATGACACAGTTGTCATGCTCATTTCGAATGTTGAGGATGTCAGAGAGTGAAGGTATACAACTGGGTAAATGTTAATTAACAAAGCATGGTCATATAGTATTAACATCTGGCTGAATAATTAATGGCAGTAAATTGACTATAAACAACGTAATTGACATTCATAACATTTTTTTACTCTGGCTGATTGTCATCCAAAGTGCCATTAAGATGTTTTTTTCAAATTTAGTTATAAAGACATAAAGGAATCATATCAAAAAAATAAATTCATGAAGATGTCCTATTTCCATTTTCCTTCAGCAAAATCACTTGAATAGTATTGCAATAAAAAGTTTAACCTTTTAAAATATATGTTGCATCATACAAAGGTCATGATTTTGATACCATGGATGATAATTACCTTCACCGACCTGAGGCAAAAAAGTTAACTGACAATATGGGTCCAGTTTTAACCCTTGCCATAATAGACTTGAATTACTGAATTATAGTTTTGTCTCTCCTGATGTGTCTATATGTAATACAGACAAATTAGGCTGGAATTTCTGAGACCTAGTTTAGGCTGGCCTAACATGCCTATGCATAATGCAGCCCAAATTGACATCTTGTTAGTACAGTGAGACCTCGGATACCCGGACCCCAGATATCTGGAAACCTCGCCTTCCGGTCAATTTTTAGAAAAAAACATTCTCTTACGTTATAAAAGTGACTGTCTATAACGGATATTCGGTTTCCGTTTCCGGGCGGTACATTTTACAAACAAACCGGCTAAATCAACACAAAATTGACTCACCTATCCGCACGAAGCTTTGATCTACCGCTAACCGTGTGAAGGGAAGTGCGAGAGTCCCACGTGTTTTGACACAAGATGTGGTGTCATATATATTATTGTGTCTACTCACGGATTAGCCGAGAGCCGCGATGCGGTCCTATACAGTCAAGACATGACCCTGCATCACGGATCGAAACGAAGTGTAGTTGACAGAAAATGCATAATATAGCTTCTCTAAATATCATATTTATTGTAGCAACAAACTGGCTTGCTTATTTTACCCCATTCAACAATCACGAACTGATTACCGCCTCGTTTTCCATTGACTGCTAGTTTACAGTAACATCGGTAAAAAATGTGTGAATTTAAATGGCTTCCAGATTTTACCCCATTCCATGCGCACTAATGCTCATGAGGGTCCGTGATAACCTTAGTGTTGATTATATATATTTTACATAAAAAATTGTAAATAAAATTCTTTGGGTTAAATAATAGTATTCTGTATTATATTTTACTGACGACCGCGCCAGAATTCATCCCGCTATATTATTGTGCACGCCTTTGAACTTGTTCGCCGGGTAACGTGTGCACAGCTGATTGCTATTTCCGGCTTTGTGTAATGGTGACAAATACGCGACGGTAATCTTAATCCCTGCAAATAATACAATGCCCAGCAAAAACAACTTATAACTTAAAAGGTAAATAATCTTGTCTAGTGATGTTTAATAGTAAATTTGACGTCTCTACTGACAAAGTCGTCTTCTGTTGTTTGTTCACGCGAAGTGATACGATGTTGTTTATTCAGTCAAAGCAATAAAAGTGCAGTGTGTCGATATTCAAGCCAGTTATGTTGTGATGCTGTTTTTGAATGTCTATACATGTATAATAAACGCTTGATGATCATAAATATTTTGGATTTTCCTTGAGGTGTATGAAAACCAAAAATCCAGATATCCGGATATTCAATTATCCGGACGATTTACGTAAAAACGAATGTGTCCGGATATCCGAGGTCTCACTGTATACGGACCGTGAAGATCCGGGGTAGTATAGGTATATAGAGGCGACTAACGGGGTCGGGTGGTCGGGCTCGCTGACTTGGTTGACACATGTCATCGGTTCCCAATTGCGCCGATCATGCTGTTGCTCATGCTGTTGATCACTGGATTGTCTGGTCCAGACTCGATTATTTACAGACCGCCGCCATATAGCTGGAATATTGCTGAGTGCGGCGTAAAACTAAACTCACTCACTCACTCACTCTTGTTAGTATACAACATGGCGACTTTGTACTTACTTACCTGTGAGCGGTTGAAAGAATTGTTTGAGATTAAAATGTTTTCTTTGTGATACATTATTTGAGAAAAGCACTGAATTTTATGTGTAGTGGACATGAGAATAGACACCCAAAAGTAAAAGTTTGTACAAAGTAATATTTACCTCCAGTAAATGAAAATCCTTAGATCACACCGTAATGACTTTGTGTCCAAAGGCTGCTTTCCCAAGTTTTTGAATCATCTAAATACATAAATGTTTGTATACCTTACAGAACAGACCTCTTTCTGATGGACGGTCTAAATTTACAGCTTGCCAGCCCGATGGTCTGGTAATTTTTGTTTTAGATGTCCCATACATCTGAGTAAATTCACTATGTCTTGGCGTCTGGTCTGGTTAAATCCATTTTGGGCTGGTAGCATTTTGAAGTTGCCAGCCCATATGTCTGGCTGGGTTTTTGGCTTATTTCATACACTGCTCTTAAGGTATGAAATCATTGTCTGAAAAACAATCTGATTCATAACGAGGCTTGTTCTTACAATATCATGCTGTCAGATTTAGAAGTTGTTTTTGTGGGTCAATATAAAGAATCTTTGTAAATTTTACTTTTCGAAAACTGATACAAAAGTAAAACAGGATAAAATTCACTTGTGATGCCTAAGCCTTGGTAGGCCCCCCTCCCTACCTTTGAAGTGTGTGAGTGAGTTTAGGTTTAACGCCGCACTCAGCAATATTCCAGCTATATGGCGGCAATCGGTAAATAATCGAGTCTGGACCAGACATTCCAGCATGAGCATCGATCTACACAACTGGGGACCGATGATATGTGTCAACCAAGTCAGCGAGCCTGACCACCCGATCCCGTTAGTCGCCTCTTACGATAAGCATGGGTTGCTGAAGACCAATTCTAACCCTGATCTTCACGGGGACCTGTTGGGTAGCGCAGGGTAGATAGGTACAGGGGCTGTAAGGTAGCCTAGTGGTTAAAGCATTCACTTGTCATACCCAAAGAAAATCACAATTTATAGAGGATATTATATGAGTGCCCATGTCATACTATATTTACGACACAAGCGCCTAAATGTTGGTATTTCCCGAGCGAGAGCGAGTGACATACCGATATTGAGGCACGAGTGTCGTAAACATAGTATGATATATCGGCACGAATATAATATTCTGTTTAATACCGAAGTCGTCAAATTAAGGAAAATAAACCCAAATCTACTTTCAAACACAGCCTGGCTACAAGCCATCGCCGCATGTAGAACGCAACGTCACAGAAGAAATGTGACGTCATAGCCTTGTTCATGACGTCACGTCACCATGACAAAGTGATATTTTGCCCTGGGGCATCGTATGAAAAATATGAACCCCGATATGTTCGCCCTCGTAGGTAATGAAACAAGAGAATACATCTACATTTCTATCTTGAGAGGGTTCCAAGTGTTAGTTTCAGTGTCTGCTGGTACATCAGCTGACTGACAGTATTGTTTCCTGGTCGATGATTATGTCCGTGTTGCTCACTGTGGTTTCTGTTTCAGGGTACACTAGACGGTGACATTCTCCCCAAATCCCTCCTCAAGTTCCTGGGCATTAGCAACTTCTCTGACAGTATTGAGTAAGTACATGTTTTACCTACTATGGGGATTGCAGGTTAGAACTCCATGACAGCAACCAGTACTGTATATGACCCAAGATAAGCTGATCTTATAGATCCCTCATATTCAATGCCCAACAAAAACACATTAGAAATGAAAAGGTAAATAATCTTGCAGGGTTCGAAATACCCCATGTATTAGCGTGCCATGGCACGGTAAATATCGAAATGGCACAGATAAAAAATGTTCTTGGTGCCCTTATGGCACGCCTATTTTATTTAGAGACATAACACACCTTTAGTCATTTAATCCCCAAAACAAAACACTTAAGCAAATGACAAACAAGCAAAAAATTTATTGACTTTTACGCCCAGGAAATCACTGGAATTATGATGGATGATGTAAAGAAATCTGGTTGTTTTTGCATTTAGAGTGTTGTGAGTACTGATAGTTCGGTTAGTGAAGAGTAAATTGTGTATGTTAGACATATTGAAAAAAGTGAACCTCTCACACGATTCTTAGCTATTAAAGGTGATGGGAAAGCAGAACAAATGTAACATTAGAAAGCCATCTTAAGCAGAAGACATGTATATCAGTGATAACCGAAAACTGGTTACATTTGTTGTTTTCTGACAATAAATTTCAAAAGATCATCATCCTTGCTACAGTCATTGATTCTAAAAACATGTGGGCACACTTGATTTCTGAAAGGCACACCTAAAACATTTGCCTGGTGCCCTAAGGCACACTTAGAAAAAAAAGTATTTCTATCCCTGTCTTGTCTAGTGATGTTTTATTGCAAAGTCATTTTCTCTTTATCTTTCACACGGAGCGATATGATGATGTTTTCTCAGTTCTTAGTTATTGCGAGCTTGATTGTACAATATTTGATACCCTTCTGTAATCATAGTGCTTTGGCTCTCATAAATAAATGTTAATGTATGTGAGTTACGAAATGCATACTGGTGAGATTCTTTAGCAGAGATGTGACAATATTAATTCCATGTTAACAGATTGGAGTTACATTTAGTATTGTAACTTTGCAATGCTTTAAACCACATGGTAAGCTTTGTTGTTTATACTTTCAAAGAAAATTATAACAGTCATAATATTATTGACACTCAGGTAGAAATGACTGTTCTATATTTCAGCCTTGAGATCAGTAATTGTGTGGTATATTTCAGTCCTGAGCTATAATGCCATTCTCATGTTTGGTATATTATTGATCCTCCTCAGAGTGTGTGTCAGCCCTGAGTGTTGTAGTGATGTTGTACAACTTTAACATCACTTTAACATCGCTACAACTCTCAGATGTTTCAGCCCTGAGAGTTGTAGTGATGTTGTATGTTTAGCCCTGAGAGTTGTATTGATGTTGTATGTTTAGCCCTGAGAGTTGTAGTGATGTTGTATGTTTAGCCCTGAGAGTTGTAGTGATGTTGTATGTTTAGCCCTGAGAGTTGTAGTGATGTTGTATGTTTAGCCCTGAGAGTTGTATTGATGTTGTATGTTTAGCCCTGAGAGTTGTAGTGATGTTGTATGTTTAGCCCTGAGAGTTGTAGTGATGTTGTATGTTTAGCCCTGAGAGTTGTAGTGTGTATGTTTAGCCCCGAGAAGTTGTTGTGATGTAGTGTATGTTTAGCCCTGAGAGTTATAGTGATGTTGTATGTTTAGCCTGAGAGTTAGTTGTAGGAGTGAGGTTGTATGTTTGCCCCTGAGAGTTGTAGTGATGTTGTATGTTTAGCCCTGAGAGTTGTAGTGATGTTGTATGTTTAGCCCTCAGAGTTGTAGTGATGTTGTATGTTTAGCCCTGAGAGTTGTAGTGATGTTGTATGTTTAGCCCTGAGAGTTGTAGTGATGTTGTATGTTTAGCCCTGAGAGTTGTAGTGATGTTGTATGTTTAGCCCTGAGAGTTATAGTGATGTTGTATGTTTAGCCCTGAGAGTTGTAGTGATGTTGTATGTTTAGCCCTGAGAGTTGTAGTGATGTTGTATGTTTAGCCCTGAGAGTTGTAGTGATGTTGTATGTTTAGCCCTGAGAGTTGTAGTGATGTATGTTTAGCCCTGAGAGTTGTAGTGATGTTGTATGTTTTAGTTATAGTGATGTTGTATGTTTAGCCGAGAGTTGTAGTGATGTTGTATGTTTAGCCCTGAGAGTTATAGTGATGTTGTATGTTTCAGCCCTGAGAGTTGTAGTGAGTTGTATGTTTGATGTGATGTTGTATGTTTAGCCCTGAGAGTTGTAGTGATGTTGTATGTTTAGCCCTGAGAGTTGTATTGATGATGTTGTATGTTTAGCCCTGAGAGTTATAGTGATGTTGTATGTTTGTTGTATGCCCCTGAGAGTTGTAGTGATGTTGTATGTTTAGCCCTGAGAGTTGTATGTTGATGTTGAGTTGTAGTGATGTTGTATGTTTAGCCCTGAGAGTTGTAGTGATGTTATGTTTAGCCCTGAGAGTTGTGATGTTGATGTTTAGCCCCTGTAGAGAGTTTGTAAGTGTGATGTATGTATGTTCAGCCCTGAGAGTTGTAGTGATGTTGTATGTTTAGCCCTGAGAGTTGTAGTGATGTTGTATGTTTAGCCCTGAGAGTTGTATTGATGTTGTATGTTTCAGCTCCCTGAGAGTTGTTGTGTTGTATGTTTCAGCTCCCTGGACAAGTTGAGCCAGGACATGCGGGTCAGTCACCAGCCAGTCATCTCATTCCCCGCTGACTGTTTCCTCCAGGAGAATACTACCAGTAAGAACACATTAATATTGTCCTTGTACCATATACCGCCTCCGTGGTGTAGTGGTTAGAGCGTCCTCCCGGAGAGCGTAGGGTTGGGGTTCGATCCCCGGCCGTGTCATACCAAAAGACGTTAAAATATGGTACTTCTTGGTGCCTCGGCGCTTGGCATTAATGGGTACAACAGCCGACTGGTCGGCCCGGAGTCAGTATAATGTGTCTGAGTGGGGTATTCATGCTTAACTGCAGCGTGGTATCTCAGTGGGCTAGCACTATAAAACCAGCTTAAGTCTGGGCTAGTACAAGCAGCCACACATACACACACACACGCATGCACGTCGTCATATGAGCGAAATATTCTTAATACCCTACTCCTCTACCACACCATACTGTTCTTGTACCATACTGCATACTTTACTGTGCTATAATACCCTACTCCTCTACCACACCATACTGTTCTTGTACCATACTGCATACTTTACTGTGCTATAATACCCTACTCCTCTACCACACCATACTGTTCTTGTACCATACTGCATACTTTACTGGGCTATAATACCCTACTCCTCTACCATACCATACTGTTCTTGTACCATACTGCATACATTACTGTGCTATAATACCCTCCTCCTCTACCACACTATACTGTTCTTGTACCATACTGTATACTTTGCTATAATACTCCTCCTCTACCACACCATACTGTTCTTGTACCATATTATAACTTTACTGTGCCTCCTCCTCTACCACACCATACTGTTCTTGTACCATACTGCATACTTTACTGTGCTATAATACCCTCCTCCTCTACCACACCATACTGTTCTTGTACCATATTGCATACTTTACTGTGCTATAATACCCTCCTCCTCTACCACACCATACTGTTCTTGTACCATATTGCATACTTTACTGTGCTATAATACCCTCCTCCTCTACCACACCATACTGTTCTTGTACCATACTGCATACTCCTCCTCTCCCTTTACTGTGCTATAATATCCTTACTCTCCTCTACCACACCATACTGTTCTTGTACCATACTGCATACTTTTACTGTGCTATAATACCCTCCTCCTCTACCACACCATACTGTTCTTGTACCATACTGCATACATTACCACACCATACTGTGCTATAATACCCTCCTCCTCTACCACACCATACTGTTCTTGTACCATACTGCATACTTTACTGTGCTATAATACCCTCCTCCTCTACCACACCATACTGTTCTTGTACCATACTGCATACTTTACTGTGCTATAATACCCTCCTCCTCTACCACACCATACTGTTCTTGTACCATACTGCATACTTTTACTGTGCTATAATACCCTACTCCCTCTACCACACCATACTGTTCTTGTACCATACTGCATACTTTACTGTGCTATAATACCCCTCCCCCTCTACCACACCATACTGTTCTTGTACCATATTGCATACTTTACTGTGCTATAATACCACCTCCTCCTCTACCACACCATACTGTTCTTGTACCATACTGTATACTATTTTACTGTGCTATAATAACCCTCCTAGTCTACCACACCATACTGTTCTTGTACCATACTGCATACTTTTTACTGTGCTATAATACACCCTCCTACCATACACCATACTGTTCTTGTACCATATTGCATACTTTACTGTGCAATAATACCCTCCTCCTCTACCACACCATACTGTTCTTGTACCATACTGCATACTTTACTGTGCTATAATACCCTCCTCCTCTACCACACCATACTGTTCTTGTACCATACTGCATACTTTACTGTGCTATAATACTCCTCCCTCCTCTACCACACCATACTGTTCTTGTACCATACTGCATATACTTTACTGTGCTATAATACCATACCATACCTCTTTACCTCCTCTACTCTACCACACCATACTGTTCTTGTACCATATTGCATACTTTACTGTGCTATAATACCCTCCTCCTCTACCACACCATACTGTTCTTGTACCATACTGCATACTTTACTGTGCTATAATACCCTCCTCCTCTACCACACCATACTGTTCTTGTACCATACTGCATACTTTACTGTGCTATAATACCCTACTCCTCTACCACACCATACTGTTCTTGTACCATACTGCATACTTTACTGTACAATAATACCCTCCTCCTCTACTTACTGTGCCATAATACCCTACCCTCCTCTACCACACCATACTGTTCTTGTACCATACTGCATACTTTTACTGTGCTATAATACCCTACTCCTCTACCACACCATACTGTTCTTGTACCATACTGCATACTTTTACTGTGCTATAATACCCTACTCCTCCTCCTCTACCACACCATACTGTTCTTGTACCATACTGCATACTTTACTGTGCTATAATACCCTCCTCCTCTACCACACCATACTGTTCTTGTACCATACTGCATACTTTACTGTGCTATAATACCCTCCTCCTCTACCACACCATACTGTTCTTGTACCATACTGCATACTTTACTGTGCTATAATACCCTCCTCCTCTACCACACCATACCTTTCTTGTCAATGAACATGGATGTGAGGACAATGTTTCAATTCTCCACAGGTACCCTTCCTGACATAGTTGCTGAGGGTGTGACGAGGGGTCTGTACTCCCCGGGAGACGCTAGCTGCCCAAGATGACACATACCCGACATCGTGTTGAATGTTCCATAGCATTGGTCACCATATACCTTGTGGGAAAATATGGAAAACAGTTTGGTATCTAATCTTACAGATATTGAATGTTTTGTCATATCGGAGATAAATATTTGTATGTGTGTTTGTCTTTATACGCCTTTAGCTTTACATACAGACTTATAGATGGAAATAAACTCAGAATCCAAACAAGCCCATGGGGCTATTCTTTTCACATTCTGCTTGCGCTGTGAAAGAATAGTGTAAACTAGACATGACAAGTTGTGTCTAATGTGATGTGAGGATTGAGAAGTTCCATTCCACATATGTGAAAAAACACCCAAAGAATCCTGGTACTTAAGGACTAGTAAAATTACAATTTTATTGGCCCGAAAATTTCTTCTAGCCTCAAGCATATGGACCAGCATTAATTTCCATCACAACTAGTAAGAACGGGATGTTTGAAATATGGTCACAACCTGGTCAGGGAAACAGGTGTTTCACCTGGATTTGATTACTGGATACGTTTATGTGTACAATAATCACTGTAGGCACGCTGCTAGGAGAGGCTCTCTTGGTCAACTTCTAATCCAATTCTGAAAGGAATTTTCCTAGACATGCTACTACGACAGAAAATTAATCATCCATATTTCCTTGTGTAAATTAAACTTTTAACAGAAAACAGCAGTTCAGAAGGGTATATATTAATCATGTCAATGACACATAACTGTTATTGAAATGTTTTTAGTTTCATCAATGTTTGAATTAAGTTTTCTCTTAATTTATTTACGATTTATGATAAATGTAAATTGTGTATGGTTTCAGTAAAACACCCCCCTTTTGTCAGTTACATAGGTTGACAAAGCCCCTATTATGGTGGACACACTGTTAACAGATTTTTGTTAACAGCATGAGAAGGTATAGAAGGAAGAATGTGGTTTTCACCAGAGAGGTAATCAGTGACAATCTGCTTCTCTTTGGGCTTTCCTCCATGGAGGTATGTACTGTTCAAAGTGGCATTAAAAAACCTAACTGCCTCACTCATGACTTGTCTTTGTTCCATTGTTATTGTCAATCACTGAACTGATGAAATACAGTGTGTTATTTGACTGATTTCTTGTTTGTTGTTCTTGACTTTACCTATGAAGTATCTGACTGTATCTGTAGTTAACTTGACAGAGCATCTGTTCGGAGACTGACTATCTGAGTTCGACGCCTTTAACCACTAGGCTACCCCACCGCCCCGATGTAGCTTAGTGGATCGGTTGTTGGTTGGTTTGTTGTTTAACGCTGCACTCAGCAATATTCCAGCTATATGGCGGCGGGCTGTAAATAATCGAGTCTTGACCAGACAATCCAGTGATCAACAGCATGAGCATCCATCTGCGCAATTGGGAACCGATGACGTGTCAACCAAGACAGCGATCCCGATCCAATTAGTCGCCTCTTGCAACAAGCATGGGTTACTGAAGATCAATATTCTAACCCGGATCTTCACGGGCATATCTACATTCAACAGTCCATGAAGCAAACACATATAGATTGAAATTATTTATTAAATCAAATGTACACGCATTCACAATACAAGTGTGTACATGTAAATGCAGGTGGACAAGAAAGGGAGATAACCTTGTATGGGTAGAAACAACTTGTGAATACAGACGTGAGAATGGACATGTAATACAAGGAGGAATGGGGCTGGGATATCTATCTATTGTATCTATGTTTCTAACAAATACTTGCATGGAACACACACACAAATGTAAACCACCTGATTTTCATAGTACAGTCACCTTTCCATTTCAAATTACAGAGAAAATCTCACCCAGTAAGGCCTTAAAACATTGAACTAAATATCAAATGACATAATTTTACAAATAAAAATGGAGGATCCAAATAACATACATGTATGAATTGCTACATAATTCAAGTCCAGATATATTAATAAACATAAAAAAACTATTATTATTATTGTACCTCTAACACTGATCCCCTGAAAGTTTATACATCAGACAACTCGTATCTAAGCACTAATCAGGATAATAGAATAAGTAAATTGATTACTTATACTTATGGGTGAGGTGAAATTGGGTTGAACGTTGTGCTTGAGAATATTTCGCTCATATGATGAACTTATACTTACGGCCTGAAGGCAGTAACAATTAACAAAATATAACAAAACTGACTTTGTGGGGAATCAAAATGAAGAAGGAACACTCCTTATGTAAACTCTCAGTGCCTGGAAGCTACTGAGAACAGTGAAGGATATTGACACAATTTTTCACTTTTTTTAAAGAATTGGGCGAGTGATGGAGATTTAGTTCTCTTTGTGAAATCCCAACTGAAAATACTTCTTGCTGGAATGTCGCAAGACTAGTAGCAGCAAGTTTGTACAGCTCAGCGGACTAGGTGCACTGACTATAACCATAAACACATCCATATTACATGTTTATAACAAGGTGATGCTTCAATGGAAGTTTATGACAAACGCTGCAGGTGCTTGAACACCAGAATCTGTCATCTAGTACATGTTGTACTTACAATACACACAATTAGTTAAGTTAAAATTCACATACATCACTTGACCCACTTTCACGCTCCTATGGAAGAAAAACCAAAATCAAGCCTGATGATACACTACCATGAAAAGCATACTTGTGAATACTGGACGGAAACCAGTTTCAGAACATCCCTGCAAAGTACAATTCTGCACCTGTCTGATAGAGTGTGTAGACCACTCCTCCATCACTCAGTAACATGGCAGTGGGTTTTACGCTGCTTTTAGCAATATTCCAGCAATATCACAATGGGGGACATAAAAAATGGGCTTCACCAGCAACATGGGAGATGTGTCATAAGTTGTAACATAACCATGACTAAGTCACCGTGGAGATGAATCGTTTGATGACAACATTTAACATGGTTTGAAATGCCATCATGAAAAAAACTCCAAAATGTGTTGCCATGGAAACAACAACACAAGCATGTGTTGCCATGGAAACAACACAAAAAGCATGTGTCCCCGGACAAACACCACATGAAGATATCCCAGGACAAGCTCCCTGTGAGAAAGTGGGTTTAGTTTTATGCCGACTTTAGCAATATTCCAGCAAAATCACTGCGGGGGGACACCAGCAATGGTCTTCACACATCATGCCCATATGGAGAATCACGTCTTCACTGTGATAACACGCTTTAACCACTAAGCTACCCCACCACCCCAAGAGAAGCTCTGCATACAACTAGTACCCTGTTCATCTCATATATGTATGCCCGACACTTCAGCAAGTGTGTGTTACAGACAGCAGGATCTCTGAAACTGGTTTGGCAGTATTCTCCTACACCATCTTGCATATGCTATTTTATTTTCCTCGCATAAGCAAGATGCAATGTGACTTGCTTCCTACCTGCACAACATTCATGTAGAATCATTTCTCTGCATATATTTCGGAACTTTCTTAATTTGTTTTGTGTTTCAGATTTTAACATGATTCATAATCGCCCACTTCCAGCTTATGAAATTTTCAGAAAACCAATCACCTTCTACTTCCTTGCAAACAGTAAAATGTTCTACATGCTAAAAACGTCTGGATATTAAGGTACAATATATACAGGTTCAAACAAAAATGCGGTATAGAAAGCTCCACTACAGAACTGTGAAAAAATATCAACAACAACAACAACAACCATTCTCACATCATATCAAATGATACCTTGGTCAAACTGATCAAATATTACAACAATTCTGGCACGCCCTACTGATGGACCATGTCCAACTCACTAAGAAACTAATCATAACCTATGGCCACTTGACTTAATTAGACTGACTGTTCAAGATGTGAATGTTATCAGACAGAGCTGGAGTATGCACATCAAGTTGGACAACAAACAGGATCTGCTCATGAACCGGGTCTATAATTTTGAAGCTGCTCCCAGTAAACAAAGGTATCATTCAAGTCTATCACTTTTTCACTCCTTCAGACATTCTGTATACACAGTGGAGCAGGCAATCCAGTCAGCATTATGATGAATCACAGAGACCTACGGTTGGTTGGTATTGTATGCCAACACCAGCTCCTGAAGTTGGCAATCACAAGCCAACAACTAATACAAGCCCATGAGGTGCACATACCTGGAAGGCTAATATTAGTTGCAGCTAATGCAGTTGCAAGGTATTTCTTTAGGCTACCACCACTGGCTCCAGTGGACACATTCTTGGATATTCTTATGGAGCTGGGTCCATGATGGAGCATTCTGTCCTTATTGGAATCCTAACAATGTCTTCAGTTCACAGGCCCATGTTCGGTTGCCTATACATTTCTAGATCAGTAAGGATTACAAGTCTGAACTGCACTCTCCTGCTCTTGTGACATTAGCTGATCCAGAAATATGAGGTAACTATTAAGGAGCCTGTGTTTTAACTTGGATACAGACCACAAGCATGGAGATCTCAAATTCAAACTATCAGCATAATATGTGGAGTTACAAACTTAAAACAATGCATATTTACAAATAGAATCAAGATATTACAAATGTATAATAATTAAATTCTTTTTATGTTCCTGACATGATAAAATACTAATCACTCCAAGATATCTATATGAAGAAGTGTGATGAGAAGAAAATATATGTTAAAAATCCAAATTTGAAAGCAAGGTTGTACAGATAGCAGTATGTAGATTCAACACCACTAGCTCATACAAAGGGTAGCATGGATACAGTGAGTCACACCAAACAATGAGGTCACTGGTTGAATGAATGCTCCATTTGCACTCTCCATTTTCACATCCTTCAATGTTGGAACAGGCGATGACCAGATATAAACACCTGCAATATATGTATCTAACTTGTGATGATTCAAGTCACATATTTTCACACAGAATTCAATTTCGAAACCATTGAAATAGTGGAAAAAAACTAGTTAAAATATGAATTTGACCCTAATAATACTAAAACAATCCAGCTATAAGTTCAAACTGTACATTCTAGACAAGTGACAAGCAGCAGAATCAACTCCACTAAAATCTGTGACAATGTACCTACTTGCAATTTCAATATGTTCAATAAACATGATAAAACATTTGATATATGAACAGAGAGAGAATTTAGGAAATCATATCAATATTATCAGTCTATCATAAGACAGAAATTATAACAATTATGTAAACAATATCACCATGGCAACATAACTGTAAATTCTCCCTCTGTTTTCTAGCAATCTGATATTTTAAAATGATCACAATCTGAAGAGATCTCCAACTCCCCCTCCCAAGTCGTGGAATGCCTAGACAGATGCAAGGAGGTAAATCTAGGCCAATTCGGGTAATGGCAACTTGTTAGAGATTGTTCTATCTCTGATATCGCATTTTCCATTCTATTAAGATGGTGAATATAGTGAACCACAGTTCTCCTTGAATCGGTACACCATTTAGCTAGTGTAATGGTACGAAACACATCTTTTAAATACGTTCTCACAAAGCTTGAATTTTGTGTTCCAAAATATCCACATTTACTTCTTCTATAATTAATTTCTGTAACAGTATGATATAGAAAACTCTCTTGCAACTTAAGCTCGGACATTTCTCTGCCTGACTTCATCTTTGCCCTTGTGGTCAGCAGCATTGGCTCTGAAACATAATGGCATTAAGTCAAACATCAACACCATATTTCATCAGCACATTTAAAAGAAAGGACAGGTGTTATGTTTGTTCCTGAACGCCGCAGTCAGTAATATTCCAGATGTATGACGGCGGTCTGTAAATAATCGAGTCTGGACTAGACAATCCAGTGATTGACGGTGAGCAAAAATCTATGCAGTTGGGATACGATAGTGTCAATCAAGTCAGTGCGCCTGACCACACGATCATTTTAGTTGCCTTTTACGACAATGGTTTGGTGAATATATAAGACAACTATATGGTCAGTAACTTCTTATTTATTGCATAACACAACGTTTCTGGGCCACTTCTTGCCCTTTCATCAGTTGATTGGGTTGATGAAGACCAATTCTAGCCCGGATTTTCATGGGTCAGGTTTAAAGGAATAATGATAAGATTCTTGTAATGATTACAATACTACAGCATGCTATGATAAGTTTGTTTTGTCTATGATACAAGGGTGGTCACTCTAAACTTAATTCTTCCTATTCATCAGGGATGCTGAAGACCAATTCTAACCTGGACCTGCACGGGTATTCGGTTGTATGAAGCCTTAAAGCGATACACCATAGAGCAAGTGTATTGGTACAAAACATCTTTTAAATAGGTTCTCACAAAGCTAGAATTTTGCATTCCAAAACATCCACATTTAAGAAATGCTGAAGTGATCATGTAATTGGTAGGTCCTTGTGGTTTTCATGTGCTGATCTGTTAGACCATTGTCATGGTTAAACCATATTACAGTAATAATTTACAGAAAAGGTAAAATTCTTCCCTATTGCTTATGGAAGAAAGTAGCTGGCAGATAATACTCACGGTTTCCTGCATCAGCATCATTGACTTCATCCTCAGATTTGCCGCGCTTCTTTTCATATATGAAGATGATGATGCAGAGGACAATGACTTCAGCTACAATGCCAAGGAAGGGCCACAGAGCAGCCAACTTGTCTGCAGAAGACAGAACAGATCCTTACTACACATGCTACATATCGTACAGATTTTAGGAAGGGAAGTAACTGAGTATTTCAACATGGCCTTGTATATGGCATGCAGGGTTTTATGCAGTGCAGAAATGACAAGGACTGGTCGGCTCGGAGTCAGTATAATGTGTCTGAGTGGGATATTCATGCTTCACTGCGGTATAGTATCTCAGTGGGCTAGCACTATAAAACCAGCTAAAATCTGGGCTAGTACAAGCAGCCGCACCTACAAATACACATGCATGCACGTCGTCATATGAGCGAAATATTCTCAAGTACGATGTTAAACCCAATTTCACCTCACCTCACCTGATTACTTTACAGGACCTTTATATGTCCTGCAAGGACCCTTGAAATTAGTAACAAGGGTTGTCTGGACCGTTTTATAGAGCAAGGTAATACCCTTGGCATGGCACACCTGTTTGGATTGGAGTTAGTTTCTAGTCTATGTTTTAGGTATTGTTTTCCTTCACGGGGAACTACTGTTTGTTTATTTAATGAAGCAGAACTAAGCAATATTCCAGGTATATGGTAGTGTTCTGTAAATAATAGTCTGGACCAGACCATCCCATGATTGAATGATCGATCTATTGGGATAGGATGATATGCATCAACCAAGTCGGCAAGCCTGACCACCTGATCCCATTAGTCGCCTCTTACAACAAACATGGGTTGCTGAAGACCAGTGCTAACAAAAATATTCCCTGGTACATCTGAACAGGAATCTGAAATGTGTACATACCCTTCACTCGGACAACAATGGTACCATTGGCTGACTGGTTGAAGTAAGGGCTGTAGGCAAGGCACATGTACTTTCCCTTGTCATCAAAGTCCACCTGAGCAATTTGCAGCATGCCGTCTTCGATGTTGTTTTTGTCATCGACCGTCACTACGATCTTCTTGTGATCCTCAACGCGGACATCATCCTTGAACCAGGTAATGGATGTTGGTGGGTAGGCAACAACATCACAGCGGAGAGTTAGGGGATCTCCCTCGATCAGGTTCTTGGACTTGTCAAACTTGCGTACATAGGGTGGAGCTACAAATACATGGCGTGTTACAAGATCTGGTGGCTTGCCAGCTTCAAATACAATGGACTCTATGATCATTGGATATTTATTAATAATCTGATACAGACAGACACTGTCACTTATATATGCACGAAGACATTTCCCGCGACCAAAAGCTATTTAGAAAGTGGTCAAATGTAACATGTTAAATTTGGGATTACACAGTATTTACAGTTTCTTAGTAAAGTACCGATTCTAATACTTTTGTTGGGCTGAATCCCATTCGGGATTTGAACCCACCCCCTCAGAGTGAGCGAGTGAGTGAGTTGGGATGTACGCCACTTTTAGCAATATTACTGCAATATCACGAGGGAACACGAGAAATGGGCTTCACACTTTGTCCCCATGTGGGAAATCGAACCCGGGCTTTTGGCATGATGAGCGAATGCTTTAACCACTAGGCTACTCCACCGCCCCACACCCTCAGAGTCGGGCACCTAATCGCCAATACACAAAGTCAGCGGTCTAACCCACTCAGACAAGTCGGACAAATGGTAGTCTAGACCACAGCTTATCTATGACTGACTGAGTTTGGTTTTACGTCGCTTTTAGCAATATTCCAGCAACATCACGACTGGGGACACCAGAAATGGGCTTCACACATTGTGCCCATGTGGGGATTCGAACCCGGGTCTTCGGCGTGACGAGCTAACGCTTTAACCATTAGGCTACCCCAACTCAACTCAACGCTTATCTATGAGATCGGCATCTATGGTAATATACAGTTATACTAACAGTTATATGTAGACAATTTGTACAGTCTTGTATACATCCGTCCCGCCAAGTATGTGTTCGCTTAAGATCAATTGTTACCCAGATCTTCGGGGGTAAACAGAAACAGACACCTACCATAGAAATTGACAGGAACCTTGGCCACTTGATTATCGTCATTCTTGAATTTGAACACACAGAAATACTCGCCACAATCTTGGCGAACTGGAAATAAAATAGACATATATCCAGATTAATATTTAGCAATATTAACTATATTGTTTTGTTATTTATATCATGCTGACGGTGATATGACCTTTGCAAGAACACTGGAATCATTGATAGCCTAAACAGACGAGGCCAAATCACACACTTAGTGTTTATATGTAGCTGTCATAAATAAAGTCAGAGGTAGAAATTTATGCAGAATTTTACATAAGAATTTGGATACTACACATAAAGTGAGTGAGTGAGTTTAGTTTTACGCCGGACTCAGCAATATTCCAGCTATATGGCGGCGGTCTGTAAATAATCGAGTCTGGACCAGACAATCCAGTCATCAACAGCATGAGCATCGATCTGCGCAATTGGGAACCGATGACATGTGTCAACCAAGTCAGCGAAACTGACCACCCGATCCCGTTAGTCGCCTCTTACGACAAGATAGTCGCCTTTTTATGGCAAGCACATGGGTTGCTGAAGACCTATTCTACCCCGGATCTTCACGGGTCACACATAAAGTAAATCATAGACAAACATTTTAACATGCCTACCAATCATAACAGCCTGAATACAACCTACTTGGGTTAGTGATGATAAGGCTGTCTTCAGTAAAGTCAATTTTCTCATCTTTCTCAAGTCCCACATCCCCCTTCTGCCAGTGCATATCGTACTTCTCTGGAGCTATGTTGGTGGCCATGTTGCAGGTAAAGGTGGCAGTGTCCATGCCTTTAACATACTCCATGCTTGTTGTTGTCACTGAAACAGAAGTGCATAAAACATTACGCATATCATAAACCCATAATATCACTATCAGAAAACAACTATATTGAGGCTAAGAATTGTATGTGTTTAAGCTTATAGTTTATGAATAATTTCATTTAGAAAATTGAAAGTGTTTTTCCATTCCATAGACCGGAAATAAGTATTATTATTATAGGATATTTATATAGCGAACATATCCACTCAACTAGTACATGCTCAAGACGCCGTTATTTTTCCCCTCGATCGTTGGATGTCAATCTCAAAGGCACATCGTAGTATTAATCTCAACTCCCCGGGATCATACAGTATAATGTTAGTGAAAAAAAACTCAGTTTGCCAGCATAATAATAAACAAGATAAAAAAATCATCTAAAAGACTAATTACTGGTAAAAACTTCCAAACACAACAAATTATGACGGACTATGACAGCAGTGTTAGTGTTACCAGACAACAGCCAGTAACAGCTCCCAACCAAAACGTTTTAATAAAAAAAAAGTGACTGTTAAAATTATGAATACTTATACATAACTCTTCAACCAGCTTAATTATTTTCTTTGTTTGCTAGTTTGAATTTTTCTTTCAGTCCATCTGTCACGTGATTACCACAAAAAATATAGGGGTGAAAACGGATGCTCTGCTCTTTATCCACAATCTTAAATCAATTTTTTCAAACAAACAAACGTGAAGGATATATAGGAAAAAGTAAGCAATGGTATGAAATGGAAAGTCAGTCATAAGCGTCATTTTCTTTCAGTGTTGGTGGCATTCCCAAAAACACACACGTCAGTGAGTGAGCGAGTGAGTGAGTGAGTGAGTATGGTTTGACGCCGCTTTTAGCAATATTCCAGCAATATCACGGTGGTGGGTTAAAAGGATTTTACTATTTCTATTTCAAACCCGACCTGCGAAGATCTGGGTTAGAATTGGTCTTCAGCAACCCATACTTGCCGTATAGGTGACTAACGGGATCGAGTGGTCAGGTTCACCGACTTGGTTGACACATGTCATCTTGTCCAAATAGGTTAGATTGATGCTCATTATGTTGATAACACTCTTAGCACTGGATTATCTGGTCCAGACTCGATTTCTAGTATTTACAGACCACTGCCGTATAGCTGGAGTATTGCTGAGCGCGAGGTTAAACAACAAACAAACAAGATTATTGCAATGACCATAATGCTACAGCAAGTTACGACTGAAAACTTCGATTTTTTCTATAATACAACGTCCTACGTCCGTTTCCCCCCTTTTCCTGATTTGGAGGAAATCATGAAATCATAACTTTAAACGTTGAAGTATTACGAAATTCTGTATCAACTGCAGTTACTCTACAATTTAGGCCACAATAGTCAATGTCACCAACATGTTCAGTGGGATGCCATTATTATTTCTAAATGTGCTTTTTAAAACTGTTCAATTGGTAAAGCTGCTAAAGCAAGACAAAAAACAAAATCCAATACAAGTTCTCAGTCAGAAGAAAAATTTTAGGTCACCTGAAACAGTATCTTAAACATGTTAAATGCTTAAAGTGGTAAAAAAAAATGTATATTACAAAACAGACAATACTGACTGAAGCAAAGCGAGTAAACATTAACATTGAGTACACACACTAAAGCTGAAGTGACAAAAGAAATAGCTAAATGTGAGAAAAAACACCCAATGGTGCAACAAAGGCTGAAAAAAATAAAACATCAAAATATTCTTACCATTTAGAACCGTTACTGTTATGGTTCTGTCGGGGGTTCCAGTCAGTTTACACCTGTACTCATCGGAATCCTCTGGGGTGGTTGTTGTTTTCTGAATTGACACCAACTCTGTCTGATGGCTCCTGTCCCCTGGTACATAACTCATCTTGGTGACAACCTTAAAGCCTGCATCTGAAGCTTTCTGTGTCCCTTTGTACCATACTACATCGATTTGACCTTCTCTAGTATCTTCACCTGTGCAGGTTAAGTTGAGGCCATTTGGGGCGACCACTTACAGAGTAGCATAGTTGGGTTCTATCGTTAACTCACATTGCACTGAAAGACACAATAAAGTATGAGATTAATGTGAGAATGTAAGTATGGTTATTGGCTAAGGTCTTGGAACATATTTGGAGAATACTTCATTTGCATAACCTGTCCTGTTCATTTATTTGAAACAAAACACAACAGAATTGATAAAGGGATTTACGGGACGCAAATTCCTGTGTCTCATATGCACAAAAATTGACAATGGACGAAACGAAATCTATTTGCGCAAAATTTCGATCAAGTAACAATAAGTTATCACTGAGTCTGCTACTAGCCGGGTCATGGTATCATTTGCAGTTTAATTACTGCAACAATGTGATGATCATGATACAATACAATAACAGTAACTGAATTACAACAATATTACAACATAGTATTAATAATAATATTAAGTGTCTGGGACCCCCATTTTGTAGTCCAGGATCCCTGAAAATTAAGAGTATGAGTCCCAGGGACTCTCAAATATAGGACTCCAGGTAAATCCCTGTTGATACCATATGACATTATATGAGAATAGAGTGTGAGCATGGTTTTACACAGCTTTTAGCAATATTCCAGCAATATCACTAGGGGGACACCAGAAATGAGCTTCACACAGTGTACCCATGTGAAGAATCAAACCCGATGTGACGAGCGAACGCTTTGACCACTAGGCTACCCCACCGCCCCTGATATGAGAATAAATCCATCCCATCCACATGGTTGACAACTCGCAAAACAAATGCGTAAAAAGAATGAACGTAATAGTGTCAAGTTCTAACTGCCTGAAGTACCTACTTCTACATAGTGAATCTGTAATCAAATGTTAACTGATAATACAGTTCTGTGCTTTTGTCCATGTCCATTGTCTAGTCATTTCACTGATTATGAAACTCCCAAAACTTTCAGCCAGACCACAGGGCTGGTTAAATAATGATTTATCATCCAAAACCTAATACCCACACAAAATACTAACATCTGAATAAATAATATCATCCTGAAATATGATGAACATCTGCATATACATGTCTAAATTTTAACCTGACCGTCGGGCAGGTGGATTAGAGAATCCGTGTTGAAAATAACCTTCCAAGGGGCCGGGAAGAGCAGGTATTTCGAATGCTGGACATACACGTTAGTATACTGTTTGTTTCTACACTCCTAACTAGGCTAACAGGTAAAGAGATTAACACTTTCAACATAAGATCACAAAGAAAATAGTCAAACTACTTTGGACAATTTTTTTGTCACTGTTTTTTCATATTCCCTCCACTCCTCCGTGGTGTAGTGGTTAGAGCGTCTGCCCGGAGAGCGGAAGGTCACGGGTTCGATCCCCGACCGTGTCATACCAACAGACGTTAAAATATGGTACTTGTTGGTCCCTGCCTGGCGCTCGGCATTAATGGGTACAACAAGGACTTGTCGGCTCGGAGTCAGTATAATGTGTCTGACTGGGGTATTCATGCTTCACTGTGGTATGGTATCTCAGTGGGCTAGCACTATAAAACCAGCTTAAGTCTGGGCTAGTACAGGCAGCCGCACCTGCACATACACACGCATGCACGTCGTCATATGAGTGAAATATTCTCCAGCATGACGTTAAACCCAATTTCACCTCATATTCCCTGTTGTTGCATTCAGCCAAACGCTACACAAACTCTTCCATACTGAGAAGCAAGGGCCACTGCTCATAGTTAAAACCAGGGTTTCACACAAGGTGCAAATGTAGAGAATGAACACAGACCACTTCACTGTGTCCAACAACACATCTATGACTTTGAAAAGTGTTTGGTTGTTTCTTTCAGAGCATTTAGGTGCATCATTTCATCCACCAGTCCATTCATTCCAGGCTCAAACAGAATCGGAATCAAAACCACCAGTTCTCTACACCAACACTTCACAGGACCCTCACATTATGAGTTACATTGCCTGCAAGGACCCCAAAATTAATAATTTGGGTCCCCATGTTTGTGAGTCTGTTAAAACAATATTGGTACAATCAACCTTATACACAGAGTGGAAAGAATGAAATGGACTTTGACACTTCAAGAGACAAAGGGGACTGGCTCAATATTTACACTCAAGCTCAATATCAACTCAGGCTTAGCAATTATTTAGCAAATGGCTAACGTTTAATACAATTTTCAAGGACTGTGAAGATAACAGACGTAGGTGGAATTTCTAACATCTACTCTCTTCGGTTCTGTACTGAACATTTCATTCTCCATAAACCTAGGCTAATATATGTGTCCCAAATATACCATAGTGTGGACATTATTGGATATCAGGCCACTCCGTCATAATCAACCCGGGACTTAGATGTATATCAAAATCGCTCTTACTAGTTTTAAAGCCGGAATGTAAAATACGGTGCGTAATATGTGACTCTATGCAGATCAGCTGATCGCAAGCCACAGAATCTGACCTTGGCTTGATTTTAGATCCAGTTATAAATGAGTTTGGGAGAATGTACTCACCAAAAACGGCACTAAAAACCACGGCAAGTGGTGCTAAAATGTTGAATAATTTCGCCATTTCGTACTGATCGACGACTACAACACACAAATAGAGATTTGAAGGCTGTTTCCACTCTTCGTTTTATGCCTCCGACTATACTTCTTCGATAATGGAGGTGTAGACTTATGCGCATGCGCGAATTTCCCACAAGTTATACCCTGTTTCATAAATATGAACTGCTTCTTCAATAGAGATCTAATTATGTTAATTAGATATACAGAGAGTTTTACTTCACAATTCACAAAGAGATTGGGAGAGATTATATACACGTTCCTTTCCAGCAGACAGACCATGTCATGACATGGATAAGATCATCAAATGTTTTATAAACTAGAAACGAACACTAACTGACCTACTTAGGGCTCACACCGCTGAGATAATCAGCTGTGACCTCTATTTACCGTTCACGACAGTATAGGATGTACCTAACTGTGTATAGAATACCTATCGGTCGTATAACCTCTGAAGTTAAACAACAGTCTCAAATTTCGAATTCAATGTAGATTATCTATATGAAACAATACAATGGTGAAGCTGTACGCATTATTTTTGGAACTAAGTCGCCCATTAGGGCGATACATCTTAATATGTGGGGCAGACCAAACGATTGTAATGTATAAGATCACAGTTCATTTTCATTTAAATTGTTTTCACGAGAGTTTCAATATTTTATAATCTTTCGGGGCAAAAGAGGGGGGTCCGCCTATGCGGAAATATCCCACTTACACACGAGGTGTGGATCATAAGGATATGTGCATATCTTCATTGTTGGTAATAACCGTCTTAAATTTGATACCCTCATGTAAAAAGCGAGTACCCACACTGAACACTGAGTAACCAGATGTCGCCATGGTCCATCTCTTCCCACTTCTCGACTTCACGTGACCTTTCATTTACTTTTGTTCTTTCTGATTAGAAGAGGGAAATATTTATCTAAAAGGGAGTGAGTGAATGAGTTTAGTTTTACGCCGCGCTCAGCAATATTCCAGCTGTATGGTGAGGTGAAATTGGGTTTAACTTCGTGCTTGAGAATATTTCGCTCATATGACGACGTGCATGCGTGTGTATGTGTATGTGCGTGGCGGCGGTCTGTAAATAATCGAGTCTGGACCAGACAATCCAGCGATCAACAGCATGAGCATCGATCTGCGCAATTGGGAGACAATGACATGTGTCAACCAAGTCAGCGAGCCTGACCACCCGATCCCGTTAGTCGCTTATCTGAAAGGGATAAGCAGAAACCTTCGTAATATATATATTTTTTAAATCCCACCAGATAAGCACCTTGCTCAAAAGTTAGGAAGGAAAGCCTTGAGCGAGTTAGCTATGGAAGGAAAGCTATGTGGCTATCACAGATGCACACCTCTCCATTGTTGTCCATTTCTATATATATGAAACAAAAACCAAGATAAATTGTTGATATCCATGATTGTTATTATTCAGAGATAACTTGTTATAACCACTATAAATATGTATTATGCACAAATGTGAACCTTCACATGTATTATGGAGCGGCATTAATATAAGCCATTTAGGCTTGTTTGCCAATCCTTTTCTTTCTTCTTGAATAGAATAAAATAGGTGTAAACCATATATATGTTTACAATGACATTGTTAGTCAATCTGGTATTCTGTGTGAGGAACGTCCTGAGGTTGAGGTTGAACTCCGCTCACCTCATTATGTCTGTGGGCTGTAGGGTACCCGGGGAGCCTGGTAGTTCGATCCCGGACATGGGTACAGTGTAGCCCTTTTCTGGCATAGCCCGCCGTGATATTGCTGGAATACTGCTGAAAACGGCGTAAAACCATGCTCACTCACACATACATGTCTGAGCCTGAAACTCGTTGTTGTCCTTGTGATTTCTGTGCGTGTATTTCACTGTTTGTGCATTTGTTAATTATTGTGTAATTAATCGTTTCGGGACAGATGTTGTCCCCAAAGAGGTATGTAACGTATGTTATATTTGGGATTACACTTTCTAAGTAAAGTACAGATTCTAGTACTTTTTGGGTTGAGTCCCATCCTGGATTCGAACCCGCACCCTCAGAGTCAGGCACCTAATCGCCAGCACACAAAGTCAGACTCGCCTTTGTATCCCAAAGAGCTATAGTTCCCCGTTTGACAGACCAAAGATAATATGGACGAATCCTAACGAATCTATGGTCCGAACCCGTCACAAGCAGACCCAGGCAAGTATAGTGGACAGAATTCTGCTGAACTAAACTGACGTTCAGAAGAAACTACACACCTGATTCTTTGGTAAAATATTTTCTTAAAAACAGCAGTAATATTTAAAAAGTGTTTTGATTCTGCCTTGTCACAAACATTGTGCAAGTGTTTCCAAAACACCACAGATATTGTACCCAATTACAACATTGCTAGCAAAATATTTATGGTTTTATTGGGAATAGTCCCAAAATACCAGGTGTGTACTTTCTAATGTACGTGAGTATAATTACGACGTCCTCAATCACTCGCCGTGCCATGCTTTCGCAATCCTTGTAACAGGGTCTTGGGTTCGAGTGACTGTGAATAGCATACATGTACATGAATATCCAGGATCACGTGCCACGAGTGTACTAGCATAATTGAAGGATTGGGATTTTTGGGGTTGTTGCAATCGACATAGCAATAATTATCATCGATCCTGCATTATGTTGCTGACCAACCAGTACACTCCGTCAAGTTCGTGAACACGGATCAGTAGTTTATTTTTTGGTCAAAATTGGTCAGGAACCTATGTTTGTTGTACAAGGCAATGAACAGGATCAGGATGTTTACCAAACACTGCATATATGCATGCATGCAAATGCCAGAAAAAAAGCCACACATGAATGGCCTTAAATTAGCTTTACAAGCAGCTTCTCTACACAGATTGTAGATATGAAAAGTTCACCTCCTTCTGGTCTTCATGCCACAAAGCTTTTACATAATTCCTATTTGTCATACTCTGCCATGTATGCCATAAAACAGAAAATGTCTGGATCTACAAGGTACGCTATGTTGAAAATGTATGTTCTACATGTTGTGATACCTACAAAGAGAAAAAAGTGATAAAAAAAATAAATAAACATGATCGGGTGGTCAGGCTCTTTGACCTATCATCATCCTAACTAGATCCATTCTCATGATGTCAGTCACTGGATTGTCTTGTCCAGACTTTTCCATATTAAGATACAAATTAACTCTCTTTAATCTCTCTCTCTCCCTCTCTCTCCCTCTCTCTCCATCTCTCTCGTGATGCATGTCTACTGAAACAACGACCCTTAAGAAGCAAATACGACAAGCGGTAGGACAGTTCGAGTTCCTATTGTGTCTTGTTAAGTTGTGTGATTCTGTGCCATCCCTCCCCTCCCCTCCCACTCTTTTCCCTCTCTGTGTCTCCCACCTGACTGGCATCTCTGTGTTATAACCCAATACTTATAGAATGAACACTAACACACTGTTCTATACAGTACATTTTAAGTTTGATGGGTGTTTAAAGTGCGGCTCCAGTCTATTTGTCTGTGAGATAAGCTGCAGTGGATCAGTGTATAAACGTCAGAGGACAGCGAGTATGATGTGACACATACTGGCGTGACCATGTGTCGTCCTCAACACAGGAAGGAACTGGAGACTGGAATTAACGCACTACAAAGGTTGAATCCGTCATTACTTATAGTCACTCACAATCATAACCTCTTGAAACAGTATGTACTCGGCAATCAGAATGAGTATGGTTTTACGCCGCTTTTAGCAATATTCCATCAATATCATGGCGGGGACACCAGAAATAGGCTTCACACTTTGTACCCAAATATGGATTTAACTAGGGTCCTCGGCGTGACGAGCGAACGCATTAACCACTGGGCTTACCTCACCTTCACTTCAGCCAGTGACGAAAGACTATAGTACTAATTAGCTATAATATATCTGATGAAACCAGTATGATGAGAATACCTTCATACAGCTGTATCATCGTATTTCCATTAAAACACCGTGCATTCGGTTTACACATCAAATCAAAGGATTTATGTATTTGCCACTTCCCGAAGAATAAATAAATTAAGGAACCCAAGTCCTGATGATTTTATTTTGTAGTCTAATGCCACACTCAGCAATATTCTAGCTAAACGGCGGCAGTCTGTAAATGATGGAGTCCGGAATAGACAATCCAGTGATCAACATTATGAACATCGATCAACGCAATTGTGATACGATGACATGTATCAACCAAGTCAGCGAGTCTGACCACCCGATCCCGTTAGTCGCCACGAGATGAAGAAATCCAGAAATTAGATAAGAAATGTTTTGGGCTCCATTTAGATTATAACAATTCTTTGTTCGTAGACACGTAGTTTCAAAATACGAAAACTTTATTTCAGGGATAGTTAGTCAAGGGAGGTTAGAGCAAAGTGTTATTTATGAACTTTAGACATGGAAGAACTTACTAAATAGTCACCGTTCTACCAGAGGAAAGAAGAATGGGGCTAATTTATGACGCAATATCGCGTCAGTTGCAACTGTCATACTTTATAGTCCATTTCAACATTTGACCTCCAACCTGGCAACGAGGAACTGATTTAGAGGTTTTGCCGACACGAATATGCGGCGTCACACATCATTATAAATCTACCGATACTTTTGTCTGTATTGTTGTAGTATGTTGCTGTTTCAGCTTTATGAGAGGTACAACTTTCAAATAAGACCAGCTTGGAGGTTTTAGGTTTAAGTCAATTTAAGACCTTGGTTTTACAAGTAAACTGTCACAGCCGTGTCGATGTATCGACTGTTGTTTTCACTGGTCAAAGGTCAGACATGTCATAAGGAAAGCCCAGGATGACAATGAAACACTGTTCAGTCTAACATATCATGATTTCAACTGTCGGTCTTTAATCTAATTCGTTTTATACGGCGACTAGTTTGTGGTTTCACTATAAGGTATCCGGATGTTTTCGTATTCTTTCAGGTGTATGTTTCGTTCAGCCATTTCTAAAGTCAATATACTTCTTCCTTTGTCAGGTTGAAAACCCGAGGGTGGTGTTTCAGATACTTCAGAGAAGAAAATATATCTAATGCAAGCCTGTCCATTTTACACACTGATTTGTAAGCCTACCCACAGTGTCTGTAAAACCGGTTGGTG